GYCTRWMWAWWAAWWAAAAAAAAAAAAAACTGGGAGTATAGCTCAGTGGTAGAGTGCTTGCCTAGCATGTGCAAGGCCCTGGGTTCAATCAGAAAGGAAACGGAGTAGAATTAGTTGGTCATAACTTTCCTAGCCTTGTATTTGTATACACAATCGGGGTAACTCCACATTAGACTGCTCTAAAAAAAAATGATCTATTTTAAAATACTATGCAACTATTTAAAAAAAAAAGCAGTATGCAAAATATGCTAACATCATTTTACTGAAGATGGATTATTGAATTTAAAAAGCTTATTAGGAAGAGTTTRTGTATAATATGGTCTTATTTATATAATACAAACCAGGTACTAGATATGCAAAAACATTAAATGTATGTGCACCAAAAAAAAGTCTGGCTATATATATTGTTAACACTGGTTCCTTCCTTGTGGTAAGAGTGGAGTAAGAAAAATAAAATTTCACTTTTTTATTTGCTTTATATAAATGTTCTATATAGTTTGAATGTTTTACAATAAACCTTTTACTGTAGTAATACAAAATAATTTCAAAAGGATGCCCACTTTTTAAACTATCCTTGTATTTTTAAAATCTATTTTAAGTCAGTGTTTATGAAAATATGGTCCAAGAAATGCCTGGGGCGGGGGGTGGGGTTGTAGATCAGTGGTGAAGTGCTTGCCTGGCCTGTGTGAGGCACTTGGTTTGATCCTAAACACCACATAAAAATAAAGTTGTTGTGTCCATCTACAACTAAAAAAATAATAAAAATAAACAACCTCTGGGATGTTTATTAAGAATATATATACTCCCTCGATTCCATTCCAACTCTAATGCATCAGGACCTGTACAAGTGACATATAGGGCTTTACATGCCTAGCAACAGCACCAGGTGATTCTCAAGTGCAATTAAGTCAAAATGAATAAATACAGTTGCCTAAAAATCAATAAATATCAACAACCTCCTAGATAAACACCTACCAGTTGCCTGTCAGTCTAAAACTGAAAAACGACAGTTAGCAAAAGCTCAGTCCAAAGAAGGGAATAGCTAAATATCTAAAACAATGGCTGAAGTCATGTCATGAACCATGGCACACTCTAAAGAAACACTGTGGCAAGGAAGGAAGGACTATTAAATTATGTAGAGGTAAAAACTACCAAATGTGCCTAACTTCCTTTCTCCCTCTCATAATTCCCATCTGGTTATACACAGAAGCAACAATATTTCAGTAACTGTAAATCTGTTTAATGATTCTAATATTGAAATGAATTTTCTCTTGCTTAACAATGAGGTACAGACCTAAGAATGAGCACTTTCTAAAGAGACCAGRACTTAAATAATCATCAAGAAAACTGATTTTTATATCCATTCCTACTGCCACTTAAAAATGTATCTTGGCTTGTTTATATTCTACATTTGAGTCAGAAGCATAAAAACTGAAGACTATAATTTATATAGAGATCCCTTCTATCTTTCACTAATTGAGACATCTTCTTGAAACATTTCCTAGAATCTAAGTTATGCATATGATGCCTCTCTATAATACAATCTAGAGCAGATTTATGCCACACTATGCCAGCCAAAGGGGGAAGTTACTAGAGTTGTAGAAGACTTTTCAATAATTGGCCCCATTACAAAAGCCCAAAATTAGTGGAGCAGGGCAGACTCACAAACTTACCAAGGTTCAATGTATTCACCTACATTCCACTTTTAAATTATAAAATTTTCTAAGAGTTCTGTCTTTTTTCTTTTAGCTTTATCTATAAGTGATCCATCTTTCAGAAGTAATGAGTTATCCTGGATGTCTTTTGCTTCTTTTCCCATTCGAAAAAAAACACATATTAAATTGCAGTTTCAGCCTCTTGCTGCAGATGGCATCCTATTTTATGCTGCACAACACTTAAAAGCACAGTCAGGTAAGGTTGACAGAATCTTTGCAGAAAAAATTTAAAATTCTAGTGAATTTCAAAGAGCCTATTAAATAATATGTGATAATGCTGTCTAATTTTTAAGTTACTCTGTAAAATATGTAAACACTTGATGTTTATGTTTGATTGTCACTGCTTACAAATCCAGCTTCCCCCCAAATATAAATGCTAATAAAATAGCAAGAAGTTTTGGGAAATTAAAGCTAGAAAATCCAAATATATAGTATATGCTCAATTTTATAACAATCTCATAAAATAAAAGTTTAAGTCATGTGTTATGGTTCCAATATTAGGTGTCTCCACAAAGCTCATGTGTGAGAAAATGCAAGAAAGAGGTGGAATGATTGGGTTATGAGAGAATCAGCCTAATCCATGTGTTAATCCTCTGATAGGGATTACTAAATAGTAACTGAAGTGTGTACCTGGAGGAGATGGGTCATGGGGGGACATGCTTTTGGGATATATATTTTATCAGGCGGAGTCACTTCTTCTGGTGCCATGTCCTGAGCGGCTTTCATCCATCACACCCTTCCACCATGATGGTCTACCTCACTTAGGGCCCAGAGCAATGAATGACTTTGGAACATAAATCCTAGATTTATTATTTGGATAAAGGAATGATCTAAAGAGAATTTTTAGAGCTATAAATGAAGACGAATCTTTCTGGAATTTATCATATATTTATATGCATATTTTGTCCGCTTTGACATAAGAATATCAAGTTTTGTGTTTTAGTCAGCTTTGCTGCTGTAATCAACAGATCTGACAGAGCAATTTTACAGGAGGAAAAGTTTATTTGGTGCTCACAATTTCAGAGGTCTTAGTCCATAGACTGCTGACTTCATTGCTCTGGGTCCTGAGTTGTTAAGTACCCTGGTTTTAATCCCTGGGACACCCCCTCCCCAAATCTAAATTTTACATTCTTAGATTAACCTAAAAATAATTATCAAAGACACAAGCTTATTTTTTAGCAATCAAGTAGCATATTTTATAATATTTTTGTATAAAATTATTTTAATGTGTCATTATTTTAGAATGTTTCATTTATTCAAGTACATAAGATATAACTGATTGTCCTGTACTTTCTATATTTTCAAAAAGCTATATCTGATATAAACATTAACCAAGCCTTCATAGTCAAGCCTCTGCTAAAAGTTAGTAAAATAGTTAATAAACAATGTCAAAACTCACAAATTTCAACATCAGTGATCAATTGGGTTTTCATAGGTAGAACACTAAATTCACAATTAACAAGTTTCCTGTGTCTCTTTAGAGGTTAATAATTTGAGCAGTCTCAAATAGTATGTAAAAACATTTTTAATTGGCCTATTTCAATAAAATAATTTTGTATTGATCRAAGATTTTGGAAAAGATATCTTAAAGAGATAAGACAATGGTTTCTATTCATCTGTATGTTAAAAATTTAACAYTCAAAATGATTTTTTATATATAAAATTATCAATATTTTGTTAAGAACCAATCAATCATCTGAATTCATCTTGATATAATTCTTCCAAATGTGTTTATTTTTAAAGTCTAGTCATCCACAGTGTTAAATATATTTATGTAAATATATTCAAATAGTTAAATAACATATTTATCTTTGACTTCCTTTTCTAGAGAAAAAGTATACTAAATTTCTCCAGTATGCTGTTTCTGAAGTCTCTTCACATACATTAGGTTTCTGGGGGTGGCACAGGATGGGGTACAGGCAATGGCAGAACACATGGGCAACTTGGCAGGTGATACTATAGATTTCCTAATCACATTAAGATATTTTTATTATAGTAAAAAATAGCTTTTTACTATAAGATTTACTACTACAAGTAGAAAGAAAATTCTTCCACAATTGTGAAAGAGAAACTGGTTTGTGTTCACTTGCAAACCACAAAGCATATTCAAGGTGTATAACATTTTTCCCTTTAATACCAACTGTTTCATTGTTTTAGTTTCCTGGGTTTTGAATCATTAAATAATCCAGTCTGTAGGGTTTTTTAAAATATAAGCTGTTTGTTATGTTGCTTTTCTTTTTTCTTATATATGTTGTTCAAGTTCAAATTTTTTAAATAAACTTCCTTTGCTGAGAAATTTTAGAAACTTTTCAAATTACAGGAAAAACACACTTCTCTTTTAAATCAAATTAGTGTAAGAAGTATTCTCAACCATCTCACCCCATAACCCTACAAAGATATATCTCCTTATTCCAGTTATTCATCAGCATCTACTTATGTGTTTGGTACTAAAGTGCTGGTCCAAATTCACAGATCCTCTTCTTACAAAACCTAGAAGCTGGTGGATGGAGCAGCTATTAATCAAATCATCACATATGTAATGACATAGAAGATTGAATACTCAAAAATTCTGAGAAAAATGATCAAAGGAAGAGAATTATATGTAGTGTGATAGGTGTAAAACTGTAGAATTGCCAAGTCTTTCAACCATTCTAGAATGGTCTGGTATAGCCTAGAAGGGAGAATGGAATGTAAGGACACTATTTTGGGAAGGGAGATGAGGCAGTAGGACGCTCCAGAGGAAGAGGGAAGAAGAGTAGCATAGTGTCAAATATTCCTGGTTTAGAAAAGTAAGGGAGTGTGAGAATGCTAGAGGAGAACATTTGGGGAGAGCTTTCTGTATGGCTTCGTATGTAAACCACTTAGCTACTCCTGAAGCCATCTTACATTGAAGAACTATGTTCTTTCCCATGTGTGTAGAGATGTTTTTACTTTTTCTCTGCATATCTCCCTGCACTTTCAGATGCTAGGTCWTATTTGTTCAGATGTAATTATAAAATGAAGGAAGTGTTATGAAGGAGGGAAAAAGCACTGGAGGGGTGGTGGGACCTGACCAACTCCAGGAAATGCAGGAAGACTTCTCTGAGGAATTGGTATTTGATCTGAGAGCTGAGGGATGAGATTCCTGATGAGGTGGGCTAGGATGGAGAAGTGTTCCAAGAAAACATGCACAAAGTTCCAATGCAGAAGGATGGAACCTCTAACAAGGTCGTTGTTGAAGTGGAGTGTGGAAGAGTAGAGAATAGGAAACTGCAGATTAAGTTGAAGAGTTTTGGCATCTCTCCCAATAGCAGCATTAAAAGATGGCTTAACAATCATTTGAAAATATCACTTTAGCTTTAGTATAGATAAGACAATCAATTGGAAAAGAAAAAAGTGGAGGTTTTTGAGGCTTAGCTTCAAGAATTAAATGAAKGAGGGAGGAGTGACTCACTGAACTCGGGAAGACTGGAAGAGGCCAGGTTTATGGAAGGAAATTCACAAATCAGTATAAACTTGGGAGYTTGAGATACCTTTAAAACACACAAGTGGAGGGGGCTGGGCTTGTGGATCAGCGGTAGAGCGCTCACACAGCATGTGTGAGGCCCTGAGTTCGATCCTCAGCACCACATAAAAATAAACAAAATAAATGTATTATATACAAATARAAAACAAATATTAAAAAATAAATAAAACACACAAGTGAAAATCTCCAAGTTGGGATCCATGAACTTGTAGGCAGAACTGGAAGAGAAACTGTTCGTAGAGCATATACTATTAGTTTTGATAGTACCACTATGAATTTCTCTCATTCCCATTCCCTTGCCTACCTCCCCAATATCTGATCAAAAACAGGACCAATGATTTGGAATAAAACATTCAAGTTACTTATTTTTTGCACTTTTGCTTCAACTAAATTATTTAAGAAAAAAAATTTCAATTAAGTGCAATTCATCTACTCAGTAATTAAAATTCTCTATGCTCACTCCTCCACCCGCCCCCAACCAAACCTTGGTCTAATTGGCCACAAAAATAGTGAAATTATTAAATCTTTTTCTTTACAGGTGACTTTTTATGTATCTCCCTAATAAACGGTTTTGTTCAGCTTCGCTATAACCTTGGTGACAGAACTCTCATTCTGGAAAGTCTCCAAAAAGTAACTATTAATGGAAGCACTTGGCATGTGATTAAAGCAGGACGCATTGGTGCTGAAGGCTACTTGGACCTGGATGGAATAAATGTAAAAGAAAAAGCCTCTGCTAAAATGAGTTATCTGGATACGAATACAGACTTCTATGTTGGAGGAGTATCATATTTACATCTTGTAAATCCCATGGCCATAGCAAGTGAACCTGTGGGTTTTCAAGGTTGCATTCGAGAAGTTATTATAAATAATCAAGAATTGCAGCTAACTGAATTAGGGGCAAAAGATGGCTCTAATGTGGGTGACTGTGATGGGACAGCTTGTGGGTATAACATTTGCAGAAATGGGGGTGAATGCATAGTTAACGGTACAACCTTTTCTTGCAGATGTTCACCACATTGGGCTGGAAATACATGTAACCAGTCTGTGTACTGTTTGAATAATCTTTGTCGCCACCAATCTCTATGTATACCTAGCCAATCATTTTCTTACAGTTGTCTGTGTACTTCAGGTTGGGTGGGAAGGTACTGTGAAAACAAAATTTCATTTTCAACTGCAAAGTTCATAGGTAATTCTTACATTAAATTCATTGACCCAAATTACAGAACAAGAGACCTTCAGTTCACAACTGTATCCTTAAATTTCAGTACTACTGAAACAGAAGGCTTAATTATATGGATGGGAAAAGCTCAAAACGAAGAAAATGACTTTCTAGCTATTGGTCTTTATAATAAAGCCTTGAAAATAGCAGTTAACCTAGGAGAAAGAGTCTCTGTATCCATGAGCTATAGCAAAGCCACATTCTGTTGCAACAAATGGCACCATATACTTATAATTCAAAATCAAACTCTTATTAAAGCTTACCTAGATAACAGTCTAATCATTTCTGAGGACATTGATCCACACAAAAAGTTTGTTGCCCTAAACTACGATGGTATCTCCTATTTCGGAGGCTTTGAATATGGTCGAAAGGTAAATGTTGTTACTCAGGAGATTTTTAAGAGAGACTTCATTGGCAAAATTAAAGATGTTGTATTTTTTCAGGATCCACAAAAAATTGTCTTAATTAAATCTGAGGGATACAATGTTTATAATGGAGATGAACAAAATTAGGTATATAATATTGGGCATTTTAATATACAGAATATGTGTAAATGCAGTTATTTTGATCGTCCTTTCTGTCACATTGTTAATGAGTAAATGAAAATGTTACCACTAATAAGCAGTCTACAGATGGGAGTGAGGGGAGGAGGGGTGGGTTTGTGGGCATGGGAAGGACAGTAGAATTAGACATTATCACCTTATATATATGTAAGATTACACTACTAATGTGACTCTGCAGTATGTACAACCAGAGAAATGAGAATTTGTGTTCCATTTGTGTACAATGTGTCAAATGCATTCTGCTGTCATGTATAATTAAAACAAATAAAAAAAAATAAGCAGTCTAAGTAAGTCCTAATACATCTTCTTGGTAAATTTGTAAATTACACATTGTTACTTTTCCTACATCTAAGTATCTACAAATGTGTTGATTCTTTAAGTTTAAACTTCATTAGTTCATTCAGAATTTTTCTTAAATAAAATTTAGAAATGAATTAAGAAAAAGTTAATGAAAATTATACAAAATATAACCACATTCTACTACTTGGCTCACAGTCATAAATCTTTATGTAATTGCAACAATGAACTTGAATATGAATTTAAAACACATAGGAATGGGGAAGGAATGGGGAGGGTAAGTAAGAGTGGGTTGGTAAGAGCTTAAGTCTTTATGCTAAGACACTGAGACATAACAGTATTTGTAATTTTTAAAATGGCATATTCATGTCACATATAAGCAAAGTGGTTGCCTCTAGAGTAGTGCTGAGGATTGTTTATAAATCTTGAACAACTACTTGAGTTTTTAACCATTTGCCTATTTAACTGATCAAACTTAAACTACATGTTTTTATAGTCTAAAACCTCAAAACTGGCCATAAAAGGTTCTGAATGTCACTGAAAATTACTTTATCCTATTATCCTAATAATACATACCATCGAAAGCTTGAGAAATATTTTGCTCAAACACAAGACTCTGATATAATTGGGAACAGCATTTCCACAACTTTCCACTCCCATGCCATCAGTGCATACCAGAAAGTAGTTATTACTGTTGTTACTTAGCATTTTCAGCAATTAATATCTGATGACAATTGTGGCAAGAAGAAAACAAATGACTGCCTTGGAGCATCAACATGTGGAAGAGGTTATAGGGAAGGTACAAGGATGGGGAAAGAGCATGTAAAGTTTAAAAGGAAAACTGGAATTATCAATCAAGTAAGTGGAGAAAATGTTACAGATAGTTACACAGATAAAGAATGATGAGTGTGTAGTTAATATCTATGCATACTTCAGCCTATTCAATGGACTAAGTAAGTAATTTATCATTTAAAGATTTTTTACAGATTTGCTTTTTGTTTTGTCTTGTTACTTGGGTCACTCTAATCTATAGGAATTCCTGGAAGGACCAAGGAGCAAAATTAAGAACTTCAGTATCATTGAATAGGGTACAAAGTGTTTCTACACATATTGTTCCTATTAACACTAAGATGTGTGAAAAGTAGAATATATTGTAATGCAGAATTGCAGAATGTCTGCACAATGATTCAAAGTTTTTTTTTGTTTTTAAACAGAGGCCACTCATGATATAACTCCTCCAATATTTGAAGGAAATCTCTGACCTAAACTTGCTTTGGTGCACACCATTGCAATGAACTTTGGAGATWGTGAGATCATGAGGATAAATGTTCTGAAAAAAACTTTTTGGAAGCTCATAGTCAAACCTTTCAAAATACACATCCTACGTGTGAAGCAAGAAAGCTGTTCTATGGACAGTTAAAATAGCTTCCTGGAAATTTTCGTCCAAATCTCACTCCCATCATATCAAGCCATGTGTTCTTTCTTTAAAGCAATCCTTCCAAGTATAGTCCAGTGTCCTCTATGTGAAGCCATATTTTCTTCATATACTCAAACAAAATGCCATATTGAAAACACTGAATGTAGAAGCAGATAACATAATCCAGTTGTCTTAAGGCAAATATGCAAAAATGAAAACAATGACACTCTTCTCACTAAACTGAGTTAGTCTGAAAGTTATTTTTCATACAAATATATAACACAATGGGATTATTAAGTTTAAAATATTGAAGTTATCAGTTTAATTTCTAATAAATTAAATAACAATATAACCCATATAAACAAAAGCTTCAGTATTCTCAATAAACTATAAGTTTTTCAAATAAAAAATCTGGAATTTCTTCTTGCAGCTTCAATTTTGCATTCAGATGTTATCACTTATCTTCTATACTATACAGCAAGCTCAATAAAGTTGGACCCTTTCCATGTTGCTCATTGAATTCCAATAACTAAGCAAATGCATAACAAATAGATACATAGTAAATATTTAAGAACTGGAAAATATTTCCTAGAGATTATCTGGTAAGTCAGAATGACTTGGTGAAAACTTTTTTTTCCATCTTAAACCCTTCATATGGTCAATAATCAACATTCCCGTTTTTGCTGTTTTACTGGTGATGGTATTGATGATTTCCTCTGATAGGTGCTTTTTCAGCAGAAAATAAAAGTGACTGATACAAAAAGATCTTTAAGATAATTTCACTTTAAACATTCTGATGTTTCTGAAACAAAATGCTGAATACAAACTTATAAAAGCAAAGTCAAACAACAAATTCCTGGAAAAGAAAAATACCCCTAGTTGGAAAAAATTTTCTTTTAAAATTATTCTTAAAAGACAACTTGGAATGATACACATATATATGTATACACAGAGAATTATTTCATGGAGGTAAAGGTATTTTAGAGATATTTGGAGTTATATTGAATTTATTGCCTAGTTATATTGAATTTATTGCCTTTTAAGTACATATGCTAGCATTTCTCTCAATGGCAACTTAAGAGTGGATTTAAGTGTTTAAGACAACTTTTTTCTAGCTGTTGACTTGTTATACTTGTCCTCAACTCACCATAATACCTTCTTGCTCTATACATGAATTACTAAAATACTTTATGAAATAGCAATTAAAGAATCAGAGTGCTTGGAACTTTTTAAAAAACAGAACCAAAATGAACCCCAATATTATGTATAACTATAATGCAACAATAAAAAATTTTAAAAAGCAGCACCAATTTTACTTGTGATTTGTTTTGGGAGACACAAACTAAATATGGCTTATTATTTTTTATTTTTAAATATTRTTTATTGTACTTTGTAAATACCTAGTAACTGGTAACCTGACCAATGTTTTAGARGAATTTGAGATGGGAATAGTACAAGTGGCACATTCAAATGTTAAAATTAAGTAAAATTGTTTTTACTGAGTTCATTATCAAGCTCTCATAATGAATTCAACTTACCTGATATACTTTACACAGCTACTATTAAAAACTTAGGAGACAAATGTATACTTACTTATTAAAAGCAGTCTTATAAAACAGGATAGTTATTTACATGTTACACGAGTATAAAAACATTTGCAATACTCAAGCAGCTTAACACCACTCCATTTTCTTYTCTATTGTTGCTATTATTTATTATGGCCTTAGATATTCCATAACTCCAAAAATCTAACATTAGTTCATCAACAACTAAGCTATAATTAGCAAGTCTGGATAGACAATGGTCCACAAAAGAAAAGAAATGCACCCTGCTGACTTCCTGACTTGACTCAGATCAGACTCATCTATAGAACCATGAGATAATAAATTTGTGTGGCTTTATGGTAATTTGTCATAGCAGCAATAGAAAACTTAGAGGACTAGAGAATTAAGATTTGTGATTTATAAATACCTTGCAATTCTACATACACACCCACCCTCCCCACCCCCCCAAAAAAACCCAAAGGTTTTTTGGTTGTTTTTTTATTCACTTGGAGTTGGGCTGATCAGTGAAGGATTTCAGAAAGGTTGGTAGAAGAAGAGGGGTATGAAAGCTGTATAAAATATTCAGGCTTTTTGCTCCTCACTCTTTCATTTTCAATTCTCAAAGCACAACTGCTAAGCACATGGACTCTGGAGAAAAAGCAGACCTTAGCTAGGATTCCAACTCTGAAAACAGCAGTCTAACCTTGGGCAACTTTTCTAAATTCTACTTTCCTCAGCTCTAAAATAAGTCTTTACCTATCAGGGACAAACTAGACTCATGTAAGTATTCAACACAAGGCTTGCCAAACAGAGGCTCACAAGTTTTTGTATCACTACAAGTTTACAAGGGGTGAACTTTATATGCAATGAGATATCCTCGTACATTTTACTTACCAAAGATATATAATACAAGCCRTGGTAAGATCATTCTATATCTTTAAAAAATGTCAAACATTTTGTAAAGAGCAAGTTTTTCTTAAAACAGGAAAGATTAAATTTATAGACTTCACTAGTTTAAGGCTAGTTGTAGGTGAGACTCAAGAGACTAAGAATGGTGTTGGATCTACTACTCAACACAGAGTTTCGTTTTCCCATTCTTTCTTCACAAGGAAAACTTCATGCTTAAACTTCATGCTAAAACTTCATGATATTCCAGTCAACCAGGGTTTGTTAAAAGGCCTAGTTCTGGAACAGAGCAGTAGCTCAGTGGTTAGGAGTGCTTGCCTACCTAGCGTGTACTCTAGGCCTGAGACCCTGGGTTCAATCACCAGCACCATTGGAAAACAACAACAACAACAAAAAAAAMCTGGTTCTAACATTTCGTAGTCCTGTAATTCTAAGAGATGGCATGGCCAACACTAGCTGGAGGCTATTTAGGCTTTGCCTATTCAAAACAAAAGCAAAAACAAACAAAAAAAAAAACTTGTATCAAGATTCAATGAGATATAAGGCAGGTATGGTGGTGCACACCTGTAATCCCAGCGACTTTGGAGCGTGAGGCAGGAGGATCTTAAGTGCAAAGCAAGCCTCAGCAACTAAGCAAGGCTTTATGCAACTTACCAAAACCTTGTTTCAAAAAATAAAAAGGGCTGGGATGTGGTTCATTGGTTAAGCACCCTGGGTTCAATCATGGGTACCAAAAAAAAAAAAAAATTTTTTTTTAATCAATGAGATATGAGCAAAGAATTTCA